TACCATAACATTTTAAATTTCATTGATGCCTTTACATAATCAGCGACCATCTAAATTGCATTCAACTGCTGATTTTTGTTTGTATGTATGTTATTAAAGATTTATTTAAGAGATAAAAATAAAATTATTATAAGATTTTTTTCAGAGCACATATATTTGTAAACATATTCTACAGTAATGACACTTTTGAGGACAAAAGTTTTTAAGGGCCGAAGGAAAAAGAGATGGAACTCATTTTTTTTTTAAATTCTTCTTAATTTTTATAGTTTTCCGAGGACGAAAAACTTTTGAAGAGGGAGGTTGAACTGTAGTAACAATTCGAATCATTATTTTGTTTAATAATTACAAAACGCGTTGCTAGTTATATGTAGGTTACGCGAACATCGGAAGTGCTTACTGTTGGATTTTGTAAATAGGTTGTAAACAATAAATTAGTATATAAGAGTTAGACAAAAGTTAGACAGGAGTCAAACCTGGTGAGAAATCAGGAGTCAAGTCAGAAGTCAGGAGTCAAGTCAGGCTTACTGTTTAAATACTTAAAAATGTAGTCTTTGCTGATATGATAACCAAAAGGTTATCAACAATTATAGATTGTAAAAATAGTGAATAATAAAAGTATCATTCAAAGTAAGAAGTGTATTTACAAATTACTATCAAATCGCTGTTCGTACTAAAGGCCTTTCACACTACCAGTGGACTCTGGAGAGTTCACATCACAAATATAATATTTCAACAACTATTCAACTGTTCACCGCTCGGGTCCAGCCTATCATTACAATTCCTGGTCGTACTGGTGATCCAGAACCTACCTCCCAATATCAACCACCAGTCAGGACAATATTCATAATCACAGTAAGGTTTCCCTTATCAGCTCTGGTAACTTTAATGTCAGGATTTTCTCTCAAGAACTTTTTGCATAATTTCAAATCTCTGGCAATTTCTAACTGTAAAGGATTGGAATTGGTATTTAAATTTTTTTTAATAAAAGATAAAAAATTATTGCAACAAGTTAATCTTAATTTTGATTCCTTTTCTGGATCTTTTAATTTACAAATACCCAACTCTAGATTGCTAAGGATCTTCATGAAATTGAACTGTTTTTTAGAAGGGGGGAGAGAGAATTTTAGACCGAGGGCAAAAATATATTTTAAATGTTGGGGAATGGATTTATTAAAAACGTTCCTAAGCCATTTGTCTATTAAATCGTCTTTAATTAGAGGGACAGAGCGTTTATTATGTGAAATTAAAAGTTTTTCAAATTTATTTTTGTGGGACTGTTTGAGACTGGAGAAAATTCTATCAAATTTTAATTTTTCAAACTCAAAGAAATTATTCAAAATGAAAGGCTCTAAATGGAAGATAAAACATTTACTAAATTGTTTATATTAGAGGTGAGATGGGAAATAAGAGAAAAAGTATGTTTTATTTCGCATGACATAGCTTCAAAACTGACGCTTGTCAACTTTTTCTTCAAAGACGACGAAGTTAAATGATTAAATTTATTGAGAAAATTGTTTGAATCAAAGAATTTCGGAATTATTTTGAACTTCCTACAGCGTAACAGAAAATTGCGCCTATTAATTGTATTTGCTAATTTTAAATTTAAAGAAGAAAAATTAGCTAGCTTTAACTTGATGTGGAGTCCATAGTGTTTCTCAATAATGTTATAAAAAGAAGACGATCCATCTTGAAATTGGCATCTAGTAGAGTAACTTGTAGTTTTCGAGGTCCCAATATATCTTGAAGGGGACCATGGTTCAGCAGAAGGACGGCGGTATGACTTGAAATTTGAATTCCCATTGTAAAAATTTGTAGAAGAAAGTTCTTGAGTAGGATCCACAGAAGAAAATGTAGGTAAATCATAAAATTTTCAAAAAATATTTTCCTTTAAAGGCATAGGAATGATATCTTGATGATTTTTTGTTCGACGTTGAAATATATTGAAATGAATAAAACAGCCAATGCGTATATATATATATATATATATATATATATATATATATAATATTCTTTAGTTTCAATTATAAATGGTTTAATTTTATTTTTAATTTAATTTTTAATTTTAGTTTTAATTCAAGATAATAAAACTTGAGTTATTTTGGACAGTGTTATTTTATGATAATTTACAGAAGAAAATCTACCATAAAAACATTAACGATTATGATATTTAGAACTTATTTTCTACCACTGATAATAAATGGACATAACATTAATAATTTTTTAAAAGAATTAAAAGTGTTTTTTTATTTCCTTTATTTTTACGATAAGTATCATCCCGAACCATAAATTATTTTTTATGTGCAAATAACTTATATTTTTATGAAAACTTCAATTAATTTTAATATTATTTACTCATGCAATTTTAAATACGAAATTAAAAAAAATAAAATAATATGAGCGGAAATCGAACCTCTGACAACAGACGTAAAAGTTAGAACTCTATCACCTGTAATTACCACCATTGGGAGTTATCTCCGAACAAATGTATATTACCCTGTTTTGGAAAGGACTACTATTTTTAGCGAAAAAAAGATGTCGCTACTAAATATGTAAAACGTCAAAATTGATCGCTTAGATTTGCCATTCGCCATTTTGTATTAAAGTTTGTGGTTTGCCTTCGCGTGTTGTTTCTGTAATTAATTGTATTTGAGTAAGCATTTATGTGAAATTTCATTCGGCAAAATGTAACGCACCAACTTGTGGTGACTTCAGAAATAATATAAAAATGCACTTCTTTCCGGCTTTATGAAGTGAACAAATTAGAAATGTCCAATTATATTTCACAGAATAGTTTTCATGTCTATAGTTCACAGTGATATAAGAAGAGAAAGACAATCTGATATATAACCAGGAGAACACTTTGCAACTCCAGTGGAAAGGGTAATAATAATTCTGAATATTTTATTACTATTTGCTATTACGACTTGATATTATATTACAACATGTTATGTTTATTAGATGTTCTTGGGAATACAAATTGCAGCAGAATCTGGTGACTGAGGATATGAGTGTCTTGATGCCGAGGGCATGTAAAATGTATGACACATTCATTATATGTTGATGGAGTTAAGAATGATAGACAAACAATGCAATAATTTAAGGTATAAATTGCAATTGCATTATAAAATGCTCAGAAATATTCTTAACATTCCATCCGAAAGGACTGCTGCACTGTTCTATTGACACAATCGAATTATAAGAAATTCAAGATTTTGTAGAATGCAACTTTATTAATGATTGATTGGAAAGCAAAATAACTATCAAATGCAAAGTTAATGTTAAAGAAGAATGATTCATAAATAAATTTTAATTCTTGGAATTTAGTTTTCTATCTATTTTGATATCAATATATATATTTTATGTCTGTAAGATTTAACTTTTTAAATTTGTTCATTATTTGTCATTTCTTCTAATTATACTATTCCATTATCTATAGTATATACTCTATATACTACATACTTAGACTCTATACTTTTCTCTTCTCTTTTTAATATATTATTATTAGTCATTAAGAAATTAATATTAGTCAGTTCGTGTAAATTTATTATACTTATAAAAACTTTTACATTATTTCTGTGTAGTTGTTATATATTCTGATCATTAAGGGGGGCGATACATGTAACAAGAAAAAAAAAAACGATTTTTTTTTTTTCATAAATCGTTACAATAACATCTCAAAAATATGCCTGCAAAAATTCAAAACAAAATTATCATTATTTATACCTTAAAAACTCATTTAAGTGCCACGCCTCAACTCGACGCTCGAGTGCAATTGTACTCTTATCTGTTTCTGTGTCAAAACTTTAAACGCGTTTTTCTCAAAACGACATTTTTGAATACTGCGGGCGTGATAACTCAAAAAGTTCTCAACCGATTCCAATGAAATTTTGCACACATCTACTTTACAGTAATAGCTTCTAGTTAAACCTCAAACATTCCAAAAAAAATTTCAAAAATTAACCTTTTTACCAAAAAAAACAGTGAAAAAATGGTGAAAAATCGAACTTTTTTTTTCTGAGGTCTGCCAATTTACGATTTTGTGACTTTTTTAATTTTTTTTTGGTTTAACTAGAAGATATATGTTTTATGAATACGTACAAACTAATTTTTTTGAATTCAGATCACCGTACGAAAAGTGAGAACGCCCGCAGATTGATGGCGTTTTCCGAGAGGGTCTTGGCAGATCTATTTTTACGGCAGCCATTTAAAAAAAAAAAAATAAAAAAAAAATGTTTTTGTGTATTTTAATATATAATAAATAACCATAAAAAAATTCAAAAAGATTCAGTTATTCCTTCCCAGTTTAAAAAGTCCTCAAAAAATGGTAAAAATTAAGGCGATTACATGTATCGCCCCCCTTAAGTAATTCATATTGATCGTTCCTTTTAAGTTTAACATTTTATTGTACATGCTTCTACACAATCTCTGTCTAGTTGTTATATATTATTGATCATTAAGTAATTCATATTGATCGTTCCTTTTAAGTTCAACATTTTATTGTAAATGCTTCTACACAATCTCTGTCTAGTTGTTATATATTATTGAACATTCATATTGATCGTTCCTTGTAAATTTATCATACCATTATGAATATTTTTTTTAGTTACTGATAATTGTAAAATTATAATACTTATTATTATGTATATATTGATTATTAAATTTATAAAAATTTTAATTGTTATGTAAAAATGTTTGTGATATATTTGAAAATTTATTTTGTACTTCGTATGTTATTTTTTCTCATTTCCAATATAAGAAATTATTTAGGTTTTCTTAATTTGAATTACGTATGCGAACCATATCTAGGAATAATACCAGCGGTTGATTTATATACTGAACAAGTGCTGCCTCCTTCAGATCGCTAAAAATATTAAAATGGAGGTAATGTCAAATGGCCCGAGATAGCGATCTATTTATGTTTACTTATCTATGGTTGATACTCTCTTCTACTCTTCTTATTTCTATGATGCGAATTATTCCGTAGTAGAATGTATATTTTGCTGGGATATAAACCCTTCTTAGTTTGTGAGACCTTTACAACATAGCTGGAAAGTGGAAACAAATCCAAGGCAGACGTCAAAATAAGATAGTTGAACCTGGAACGTCATGCTCAATGCTCGAGTTTGATCTGATCTAACACTAATTAATTGTCAAATGTTTTGGAATTTGCAGCAGTTATAAATAAACAATCAAATATTGTATTTCGTTTGTTGTGATGGTGTCAACTAATAAAAAAAATAAAAGAACAAATGCAAGTGATTTGCAAAGACTATTGGACGATGTTCCAGATTTAGTGGTGGTCGATCCCCCTCAAAATCATTTTGACGATTGTAACAATATTCTATATGACAGGTAGAGAAAATAATTTTGACTTTGAATAAACTCTTTTCTAGACGGATTAGAAACAGCATTATTTATTTATTTTATTAAATAATTAAATGAACTATTCAATAAATTTTAGCAGACGTTCCTTTTATAGCAAATTACTACACATTTTATATAAGAGAGGTGTTGATTTATAATGATTGGATTACAAGCAACACGACAATGCGAAAAAATATTAATAAAGATGGGTAAAAATTCTATTATGGTATATTTAACAATATGGGAAATATTTAAAACAATTTTTTAAAAATAAAATTTTACAGATGAGACATAATATAATTATAAGGTAATATATGCTTTAAATTATGAAACTAATCCTAAAATATAAACTGCAAAAAAATGGGTATTCACACAACGATTGAGCCTAATATAAAGATTATTTTAAAACAGAAGTAATTTACTAAGTTTCTTAATTTAATTGAACGCATACATATTACTAATATTTTAAGTAGTCTGTCAGATGTTTGTGTAAATAATTTTACCAGATGGTCAGTTTTGTGCTAGGACTGGGTCAAAGTAAATACTCCAAAAGCCACAGTATATATGCATTCATACAGCACACAGAAATTAACATATAACTAGATAAGTTTATTTGAATTAAAATATCTGTAATGTTCACAAAACAATTGCTAAATCTTGTTTATACACCAGAAATTCATTCCGAGTAGTAAGATACGAAGATATATATATATATATAAACTAGCTTATAGCTAGTATTTCTAAACAATTTTTAGAGAATAAAATAAATGAATAAAACAGAATACTTTATCTTAGGAGTGTAATAGTACAATGAGGTATTATAAACACAATAAACCACAAAGTCTACTTGTATAATAATAAATTATATAATTCATAATAACAATATTCATTTGTCCATATTTTGGTAATACAATCAATCTGGAAGTTTTATACACTTTCTATAAAAATATGGTATAATTCAATCCAAGTCTTTTTTAGTTTTTAGCCATGGTCAATGTTCAGTTGGTCATTTTTGCTCTACACAGATGTAAGTTTTTAAAGTGGTTATATAAAAAAACGGTTGAATCTCACTCAAAATTAACATTACATTTTATAAAACAATTAAATAGCGTATAGTTAAAATTTATATTAAGGTCTCGTGAACTAAATCACAGTGCTCGCAACCCAAAAAACTAACAGCAAAAAGAAATACTTTCGTTATGGATTTTCAAAGATTACCGTTTATCTCCCAATAGCAAAGTCATAAGAATCAAGGTTATAGCTGGTTATACATCTTTTCCCCTCTACTTTCAAATATTGTTGAACGATGCTAAACTTTACTGGATTTTGAGATATTGGTGAAGGACTTTATTAACCCCGGATCTTCATATATTACTATCCATTCTTCGATAAATTCATAGAAAATTTTTCCAGTTTATTTTTCAAAATTAGAGGAAAATAACCATTGGTGAATTATATTTTACATTGCATTATCCAATGATTGTTGAAGTTTTTCATCATTTTCAATTTGTTGAGTGACTAATTAAAACATGAACGATACCTGACTGTGTCTAAAATGTATGGATTTTGATATATTGTTTGGAAGGAATTCCTTCAAAATTGTAGGTCTTCAAAACTGTAGTGAATCTTTTTTTTGCTACACTTGCTTTAGTACCCAAACTGTTGATACATTTAATTGAATGCGAGCATTATAATCAATTTTCAAAATATTTTATTCCAGAGAACTTGTAATTTTGTACATTGACATTTTTAAAGGTGTGTGTTCCAAAGTTATATTATCAACCGAATCTTCTTTTTTAAGTATTGATCTGTTATATCTGGGAATAAGTTATTCGACAAAATGTCCCCTTTGATCGATTCCAAATTTAGGTTTTTAATTTAAATAATCTAAATAAAATAATGATATAATTTAGAAAATGTTTTATAAATACTAATGAATATAAAATTATGCAACTATTACTAGGCCCAATCCATACAGCGATTTTAACGTTTTATCCCGGATTGTTATATAGCTATACAAAGTGGACATTTCTTATTTTAAATTTGCTTGAACATATGTACATTTTCAACAAGAGTACATATTGTGATAAATTTCAATGTGTTTATTTTGATTTTCTTTTTTTTGCAACCGTGTATCGAAATTTGTGGCATCTTTGTTATCACCCGATCAACAACAATATTAGTATCCGAACAACATAAGAAAAATTCTGTAAAAATTTTATTATTATCATGTGGGATATGTTCAACTATTTTAATTTTTTTATTGCAAATGTGAATGCTGGAAAAACTTCTTTCTATGCATTAGAAGTGATTAGACAAAAATGTCTATGGTGTCCCCTTCGATGAATTTCAAATTTAGGATCTAAATTTGAATAACCTAAATGCAATAATAATATAATTCAGAAAATGTTTTGGTAACACATTTACATTAATAATAAGTACTTTTACAGCACAGCTTTTGAAATAAATAGGATGTGTCAAAAATGAATACGAAACGCAGTGAGCAAACAAATGATCACTTGAGAATTAACTAAAAACTTTATATAAAATCAAAATAAGCATTCTTATTAACATTTAAATATATATATTAGAGATGGCTTATCATATCCGAAGCCGGATTGACTCGGATTTGACTCCGCTTCAGGAAGGAGTTATATCCGCTTAACAACTCCACGACTCCGACAATTTTGAAACCGAAATACTCGAAACAAATATGTTCTATAATACGCGGTTTATGTATCTACGGATTTGTCAAATCCCATTAATTATTTGAAATAAAAATTTATGAATAAATATCAATAAAATAATTTTTCTAAAAAAATCACGAATAAATGACGGGTTGTAAAATTTTTTGGTCGACCAGATGATGGACTCAGTGACTCGTAATTTTAACAGTGTTGACCAAAGTATAAAAGCAAAACTTGAGAATCAAATTCAATTTAATTATTTCCTTCTGATGAGAAAATAATTGATTTTTGGATTCATTTTATATAAAAATTATGTAGTAAACTTTGTAATAAAAGCTTTGTAGTAAACATACATTTGCTTTCAAAATTTTTCTTCCGCTATTTTCATTCGAGAATTAATATTATATCGCGTAGTTCGACTAGCATATTATTACTTTTACACAATTATATAATTGTGTAAAAGTAGTAATATAATACTAAATATTTTTTGCTGCTTAAATACTAATGATTTCACTGATACATTTTGTACTCTAAAGTGTTGTTATTTCAGGCTATAGAAAAACCAGATAAAATAAATGTATTTCGCTTTGTATATTGTTCGTCATTCACGGCCAAAGATTGTCGTAGTTAGAAATATGACCCACCCCTTACTATTCAATAAATTATATATTTGAGCTATTCACACTTGAACACAATTTCATTGTTCTGTATCTTTGAAGTAATGTTTTTGTATTTTCTGGAAAAAGACACAATGGTATTTTGAGTTTTATACCTAAAAGGTTATAAAACTGCGTCTCAGATGAGAAAGCGACCGCTATTCCTTCCCATAGATAAATAAGTATAAATAGATGGCAAACACGGCCGCTTTGATGTTACATCAATTATAATTCTTTCAGCATTCAATAGATGTCGCCACCAACTGTAGCACGTAAATTTACCATTAGGTTCAATTCTAGATAAGATTTATTTGAATATAGAAAAGATACTCCTGATTATTTTGACTAAATAAAATTAGAACAAAATATACGCGTATCAAATATATTTTCAACAAAATCACAAATATCTTGTAAAAAATCTATGATGAGATAAAATTAAACATTTTTTCCATTAAAAAAAATATATATTTCAATATATAAAAAATATAAAATTCGTCATTTACGTGTACTATATCTAGAGAGACTATATTTTAAACTGTGTGTGCTGAATTTGAAGCACACCAGCACCATCTGTTGAATGCTGAAAACACTCGAACCGTGTAACGCGTATTTGTTCTATGTTTACCCCCCATGTTCCTTCCCAAAGCAAAAATGCCAAAAACAGTAAATGTCTGCACGAGTTAACAGATTTAATACCAGTTTAGGAAAGTCGGATATGACAAATCCTGTGAAACAACTCCACTCGGATTCACTCCGAGGGAGGAGTTGTATCGGAGTGATAACTCCGGAGTGAGTTACCCATCTCTAATATATATATATATATATATATATATATATATATATATATATGTTAGATGCTTAACTTTAACATTCACTCAGTATTTATCACTTAGATCAAATACCTCAACTCTGGCTAACTGAAATTAAATCACAAGGTAATATAATACACGCATATAATGATAACAACCAATAATATTTAGTCAGGATATATATTTATTACCATTTAGATGTTTACGCCTCCGAGTCCAGTTAAGTAAGACCGAATATTTATTTATTTATTTACATGACAATCAAAACAACATGGCGACTTATATGAAGTATGTACAAGTTACAGCATAGACTTAATATTAGTATCTATGCTGGCGCGAATATTCAAAGTTGCTAACATATATATTTTCAATAATAATTAAATTTTAAAATTAAAAGAATAACAACACTATCTAACACTGAACATAATCTGTTTTAACTTGTCAAAACCATTTGACATATGAATAATATTGTGTTCCTACGCCATTTTAAATCAAGTGCTGTTTACCAAAAATTTTCAAATTAAAAATGTAAAGTTTCTACGCGATTTTGACATATTATCTCACCTTTCCGACCATCTCTGGATTGGTACGAATACCAATCGTACCGCCAAATCGGTTTAGCCGTTTTCGAGTTTTACCGAATCATTTGATTGAGAGCTCCATTTTTATATATAAGATATATATATATATATATATATATATATATATATATATATAATATATATATATGATATTCAGTTTTCAGGGCAATACATCAATTAAAAAATTTGTATGACTTTAAAACATTTTTATTTTTTCCATACGTTTCGACACATAGTTTTGTGTCATCTTCAGTG